TGCACTACACTCTTTTATTGGTTATGCGTCTCGTGGATACTTTTGAGTCTATGACTTTCCACTTAGCACAGCACACTACAAAGAACAAAAAGGATATGGTCACTTTGTTTTGTTTTAGATTTTTTCTTTCTTTCTTTTTTTATGTAATTTTACACTATAAATAGTAAAACTAATAAGTCAGGGTCAGTTATCTCAACCCTCAACCCTTCACCCTTTTTTTTTTTTGGGTACAAAAAGGGGCCAAAGGCCAAACACAAACAACCCCTATTTTTTGGTAAAAAACAACCCCTATTTTCTTTTTTAGTAGAAAACTCGTCATTCACTTCACGCACTCCTGCACATAGAAAATATAAAAAATATAGGTACTGGATTGAGGGGTAAAGCTCATTATGTCCTTTTAATTATGATATATTTTTGTGATCAATGAAATTAATTCTTAATAAGTTTGTGCATAATGTAAATTTAGCCCATTCCAATTTGAAATCCTGGTTCCGTCCTTGCACTCAATCTCACAAGCTTGCAAACTCACAAATTTAATACCTCTAATTGTATCTCTCAATACTAATAGAGATCCAAAAACCTCAATTATTCTCTAATCTCCCAACGAAGGAGAGCCCCAAAACCCTAGATGGTGACAAACCAAAAATTTTCCCACACAAACATAATACACTGTTTGCACGTTTCCAATCACATAATACACTGTTTATAGGCTCACACAAAACCCTAATCTTACAAGAATAAGTCAACCAAAACCTTGTCCACCAAGCACACCAAAACATGGCTAAATATAACTCAAATAGGAATAGGAAACGTGCAAACTACCTAGGCCACAACTGGTCCTTCATCCATAGTCGACCGGTCGACTTACGTAGAAAGTGATAGCTTCACGCTCACGTGGTGGCCTAAACTCCAGTAATTCCTTTGAATACTATTTTGAAAGCTTTCTATGATTGTTGGAAAATTTTAAAACTTTATATCATTGGCCCCAAAAGAAATGGAAGCTAGCTTCGCTACTCTACATACATTTTTAAAACTTTATATATCATTGGTTAGAAAATAACTGATGACGTGTCCACTGTGGGACATACCTACTAACCAATCCCTTAAAAAATTTATATAAAATAATATAAAATAAAATAAAAACGTTTATAAAAAACCTAGCTAGAACCCAACCCCTTCCCTATCCAACAACCTAACCTAGCTAGAACCCAACCCCTTCCCTAACCAACAACCTAGCCCCAGACCCCATCTCCCATCCAGGGTCGTCGACTTTGCATCCAGTATGTGCTCACCAACGTCGCATCTAGGGTCATTTTGCTATAGCCTTCACAAGAACAACATCGGAGGTCACAATGCGGGGTTGTATCATCGCTCTAATCCGACCTAGTGCGCACCAGTAAAGGTGTCAAACGAGTCGTTCCAGTCCGGCTCGTCCTGTTTAGGGTCAAATTGTGTCGGGCCCGTCTGTTTATGAAAATCATCAATCTTGGCTCGAGCCCACGGCCCTAGCCAATATGGGACTGGGCTGGGCTCATGTTAGGCCACTAAACGAGCTGATATAAGCCCACGCCAAATTTAACTTATGTATTGATTCTTCTTTTTTTCTTTTTTCTTTTTGCAATTTTGTTTACAATTATGTATATACTAACAAGATTTATTATTTGTTGAAAAAAAAAGGGTAATAAATTTATTTGAACAACATTTAAATAAAAATTTGCTAGATTAATGTTCGGATTTTAAAAATTGAAACCTTAAAAAAAAATCATTATTTTATTTATAAAGAAAACATTAAATCTTAATATATATCTTATTAAAAATAAAATAGACTTGAATTAAAGATAGGGTTAATTGTTTTATTTGTCCTTGAACTTTGACCCGATTTGCATTTGAGTACCTCAATTTCCAAAATGGTTCCCATAGTCCTTTAACTTTGGTTTCGTTTGGACAACAAGTCCCACCATTACTTCTGTCAATTTTTTCATTATATTTAGGGCATGTGGGGAGTAGTTGAGGGGAAAAAAAAAGACTTTTACCTCTTTTAGCTTCTTTGATACGACATTTAACACATCAGAAAAAGCTGAAGAGTTACGAACCAAAGAAGGATAGAAAAAGCTAAAGAATCAACAAGCTGAAGCTTTCTGACAAAAGCAAAAGCTGAAGAATTTGAACGTGTTGGGGCTTAGTGTTCAAGAACTGGACTACAATTTGAGTTGATTTTGTCTGGGTCGTTGTGTAGTAAGGTCGTCTGGGTCGATAGGTGTTGGTTATCTCATTGTGGGGTCGATAGGTGTTGTCGACAACTTTGATGGAGTTTGAATTTAGGCCGTCTAAAGACCCTTCCATGTACGGTATCTGATGCTAATGGAAGTACAATAAATGCTTTTTTTATATGTTAATTGCTTTATGTTGTTTTGGAATTCTGTCTATGTCTGCTCTAACTATGCAGCAATTGAGGGTTTTGTTATTGTCTCTCTTTTGGGCAAATAAAAAACTGTTTCTTTTGTCTTTATGTCAACATTGAACGCATACCTTGTGTTTTGGTCAGACATTGAGTGCATACTTGGTCCTACTATCCTTGGTTGAATTTAAGGGTTTGTAGTCCAACTGGTATGATTTGTGTCACTTGATTGCACAGTTACACACATTAGCACACTTGGTATGTACTATCCTTGCTTTAATTGAAGTGTGATTTGTCCTTATTTAGGTGAGTAGAGATTTTAAAAATTGGTGTTGAATATACTGAACTGAGATTAGTGCTTCATTTGCAGATAATGGTGAGTTCTACACTTTGAAAATTCACCATGGGGGTTTTGTACAAGATGGAGGTGTATAAGGGGAAGAGAGGGGAGGGGGGGGGGGGGG